TTCTTTTTTTTTTTGTCTGCCATTCGAATAGATTCCAGAGCAATTTTGGTAGATTTGGAACCGGGAACAATGGATAGTGTACGTTCCAGTTCTTTCGGACAACTTTTTCGACCGGACAACTTTGTTTTTGGTGAAGTTTCTATTCATTGATTAAAATTCAAAATAAAAAATAAATTTTGAGTTTTTTGACAATCCTTTTAAAATGATACATTCCATTTATTAAGTTATAGGAATAATTGTTGTAAACTTTGCATGTGATAAAGTAATCCTGCTAATTTGATGGTTTTTTTTTTTCATTTTCAAATTGTTCTTCATAAGATAAAATTATTGCTCTTTTCATTTTTTGTTAACAATACGGAAATATTTTCAGGTCAAAGTGGAGCTGGTAATAATTGGGCTAAGGGTCATTATACTGAAGGGGCGGAATTGGTCGATAGTGTACTGGATGTGATTCGTAAAGAAGCTGAAGCATGCGACTGCTTACAGGTATTCTTTTCTAACAATAATTGAAATATCACTATTTTCTTTTTTAAAAAAAAAAAATGAAATATTTGCTGAGGAATTATCGGTTTAAAAAGAAAAGGAAAAAAGAAATCAAAAGTGTAACATTTTAACCAATCAAAATATAATTTATTAATTGTACTAATTAATCGTTTTAGTAAATTTTACTTCTATTCAAATACTTTATGTTATGCATACATTGTTTCATTTAGGGTTTTCAATTTACCCATTCATTGGGAGGTGGTACTGGTTCCGGTATGGGTACACTATTGATATCAAAAATTCGTGAAGAATATCCGGATCGCATTATGACCACCTTTTCAGTGGTTCCTTCTCCGAAGGTATCCAATTCTGTTATTAACTAATTCTATTGAATGATGAAGAATATTCGCATTACTGGAATGCATTTCGAAATCATAGATTTTGAATGTAATTTTACGGGAATAAAAATCATATTAGGAAATGTGACGGATGACAAGAATCGTTTATTGTGTCATCTTATTTCGGCTTTTTATCTGTACGTTGAATTTGCTAATAAAGAATGATTTTAGGATTAAACATAATCAGTAGTTTGGATAAAAAGATGAGTACAAACTTTAACTTTGATATTAATTTTGATATTAATAGCATAATAAAATGAATCTTGGCTATTTAAAATTGTCAAAAAAAATTTTAGCTTTCGACTAAATGAAAATATCATTGACGTGATTACATTCAAGAGAAAAGTAAAAATAAACTGATGAATAATATTGACAGAAATATCTAATTATTTGAATGACATTATTAGAAGCAAAAGAAAATCGAAGTAAATATTTTGAAATTCTTTTTTTTTTTCGCAGTAATTATAGGTGTCGGATACCGTAGTAGAACCATACAATGCCACGTTATCGGTACATCAGCTTGTTGAAAACACTGATGAAACATTTTGTATCGATAATGAAGCATTATACGACATTTGTTTCAGGTACCATTCTATCAAATAATTGATGTAATTTGGTAGTAACTTCGATATAGATTGATTATCAATTGATAGCGAAAAAAAAAAAAAAAAAAGAAGAATAAAGAATCGTGTCTCCTACATTATCATCATTGTCTTTCACGTATTTTAACGGAAAATATAATCGCTTCTCACGTATTCCATATAATCTTCACGTTCTATATGAATTAGAAAATGATTTAATGTTGAATGGAAAATTGCAGAACATTGAAATTGACAACACCAACGTATGGTGATTTGAATCATTTGGTTAGTGCAACGATGAGTGGTGTTACGACATGTTTGAGATTTCCTGGACAAGTTTGTTTCATTTCTTTTATTATTTTAAATGATACAATAGCTATTGTAATGAAATAATATCTTTATAAAAATTTTGAAGTAACTTTGCTTATGCCAATGTTTATTCTTTCTTTCATAGTTCTATCAAATAATTCGAAATATTTCAATTTTGTTAAAATATTTTTACATTTCAATTATTATTAGTTTGTGTACGATACGTTTAATTTATAATTCTCTTTATTTTAAAACAATTTGCCAACATTTGTTATTAATTATGGATATTGTTAAAATTTGACGTTATCAACCAATATCATTTGATATTTACCGTTCAATTTTAATTTTATCCAAATTAAAAATAATTGATTAAAAAAGTATTTATATAAATTTGGCAATTTCAGCTTAATGCTGATTTACGTAAATTGGCCGTTAATATGGTACCATTTCCTCGATTGCATTTTTTCATGCCCGGTTTTGCACCACTTACTTCTCGAAGTTTGTTTTCTCATTTATCTTTTCCTTTCTTTTTTATTCAACAAGAATTGATGCAACAAAATAATTGGATGATATATTACTCGATTTATTAGGTTAGTAATTCTAAATTTAACTCATAGGCCAGATTTCAACTAATATTTCATCAACAAAAGTTAGAGCCAAATTTTGAACTAGACTTAGGATGACATACTTCCTCATTAATCTTATGCTTTCAAAACTTATTATCAAATGGATGATTAACACTGGAAGTAAACTATCCCATTTTATAGGCAATCAGCAATATCGTGCTATTACTGTAGCTGAATTAACTCAACAAATGTTTGATGCCAAAAATATGATGGCTGCTTGTGATCCACGACATGGACGTTATCTTACAGCTGCTGCAATCTTTCGTGGAAGAATGTCAATGAAGGTATCTTCCATTTTCATTTTTTTTTTTAAATTTTAAATTCAGAAGTTACGATTGATTTTGCAGAAACTCTATTAATTTCTTCGCTGTTAATATGATTTCTTATCACTCATCAGAATTAATAGATAAAATAAATTGTAACTTCTTCAGGCTAATTATTACTTAGATTAGCAAATTACACAATTTTAACTCGAAAAAAAAAAGGGAAAGGCAAAAAGCATCTCGAATTTTGATCAGTTCATTCCCTTTAAATTAATCTTACCTTTATATCATACATTCGATAAAATGTATTTTAGCTAGAATGTAGAATTCGTATTATAATTACCAACTGTTGATTATTTCAATTTAATCGTTAATTATGATGACAATGGAAATGAGATTAAAAGTGCGCAAATGTCGCAAATATTGCGTTGTTATCTTCCAATAGTGTCAATTATTTTCTGGCAAAAAGTTGAAAATTGAAATTTCAAGCTTGTCACACAATTTATTATACTAAATTGAAACTTTGGATTTCTGTTCTTAATAACAATCTTAATAAAACATACTATGAATGCATCTGAAATATTCAACAAATAGTTGCTGTCTAATTTATTAAATACATTCGTTAAAGTTCATTTATATTTATACTTAGTTTAGGATGTTGATGAACAAATGTTGAATATACAAAATAAGAATTCCGCATATTTTGTTGATTGGATTCCAAATAACGTGAAAACAGCCGTATGTGATATACCACCACGTGGACTTAAAATGGCTGCTACATTTATTGGTAATTCAACGGCAATCCAGGAGCTTTTTAAACGTGTTTCTGAGCAATTCACTGGTTTGTTTTTAGGAAATTTATTGAATTAATTAGTATGAATTAACTATTTTGAATAAACATTATTACTTTAATAAGTTATTTTGAATATCTAATTGTAGCAACAATTATTGTTGAATAATCTTAGGTAAAATTAAAAAAATGAAGAGTCCAATCAGTGAGTGTACTGTAACGAAAATATTTTAGCGATGTTTCGACGAAAGGCATTCCTGCATTGGTATACAGGTGAGGGTATGGATGAAATGGAATTTACGGAAGCCGAAAGTAACATGAATGATTTAGTTTCTGAATATCAACAATATCAGGTTCTTATCTTCCTCATTTTTCTTCCACGTTAGTTATATCAAGGATAAGTAAACTACAAGAGGTGTGTCACAGTAAGTTAGGGACGAACTAAATAATGTTATAAAAATAATGAGAATTTAATTACAGATAAAATTTCCTAATAGTGTTGTTTTACACCTTTTATTTTACCTGTATTACAGGATGCAAGTGCTGATGACGAATTGGAAGAAACGATTGAACAAGCGGAAGCGGAATAAAATTATGATTGGATCAACAATTCTTTCAAGCTTTGTCAACATCTTGTTTGATTTTATTTCTTTCCTTTTTTTTTCCGAAGAATTAAATTTCATTTTTTTTGCATCTCTTCGATCTATCGGAGGGTGCAAGTATCGAATGGGAAATGAATTTCTGGAATTTGAATTCAATTGGCATGAAATATTCTGGCAAATTTAATAAGTTCCATTGTTCTGTTCTTTTTATCTATCAAATAAACCATCTTTAAAAGTACGTCAAGATTTATGTATACGCCAATTTACATGAAGTATTTTCTGTTTAAAAATACTTCTCTCTCTCTCTCTCTCTCCCCTTCTTATCCTTCTTCACTGCCGTTTTTCGGTTTTTGAGAGTTGCCTAATTAATTTCAACGGATTTTTTCTCTTCGCTTTCCTTCCATCAAAATGATTACCTAAACTTCGTGAGGAATATTCATGTTTGTTCGTTTTTAGGAATAGAACGTGAACGGAATATTAAAATCTGTGACCTTACTCACCGATAGCATTAAAAAAATCTATTTCATCCCGGAAGGATGAGCAAATAGCTTATACAACCTTTCCATCTTTATTTCAAACCTTGCTTTTGTCCTTTGCTCATGTTGCATTCAAATATTCGCATGAATTATCCGTTATTAAAAAGCTTACTCACCGCCATATATGTATACATTGTGTGCACAACTTTTACAATACGATCCAATCCATAAGCCACTTATCTCATATTAGAATAATATCTCCGTAATTAAAATAGGATATTTGAATGTACGAACTACCTTCGTATATTATGAATCATTTTTTTAAATTTCGATTATTTTTCAGGATTAATGGGATGGAAAAAAAACCGTCAAAAAAGGTTGAGGGAAACAACTTAAGGGTAAACAAGTTCAAAATGTCAATACCTGCCTAACATTGATTGATTATGAAAAGTAAGTATTGGGCGTTTTGCATAGAGCTAGATGAAAGCTTAGAGTTTAGATTAAAATCATCCTGAAGTTCTGAAGGAATTCCTTGAAATTATGTAGCTATAAGTAGGTGCAATTACATCTCGCAGAATAAGAGTTCCAATACGAACTTCTGCAACAGTCGAAATTCTAAATGGGTTAAACAGAATTTAACTGATCAAAACAACCATAAAACAAAAACTAGAATAATGATGAATAAAAATCATCATCAAACAATCAAACATTCAGTGAGGGAAAACAACCGATCAAAAAAAGAGAGAAGAAAAATGTGTCAGAACAAATCATTGACTATCTCAAAAACAGAAAAATTTGATCTACAAAAACTACAAAACGTGGTAAAAAAGTCGGCAGTTCAAAAATCAATGAAATCCATTTAGGGCAACCTAGTTTTCTGTAACGTGAACTGCAAAACGAAATAAGTTGGTGAGCTATCATTATTCCAATCATTGTAAAATTTCAACGGAACCATATTTTAACTTCATTTTATAAATCCATGGAAATTAAAATAAAGGTTCGTAAGATTTGTAGAAACTTTGAAAAAAAATGCATCTTTGTTGAATTCTATCTCTCCGGAAACTCCACCTCAAAATTCTTCTTTAATCTAGTTGAGATCCAAATAGAAGGCACTGTAATTGATAACTACTAACTAAATTATCTACTCAATCAATTTTCTACTTCGTTACCGCTGTTTCAGAAAATATTTTCATCAATGTGACTGAATGTAATTTTCATGAATACTCTCTACAGTTATTCAAATCTTGTGTTTCCCCCATTCCGCCTTCCTTATGATGCACACAAAAAAAAAAAAAAATGTTAAGCGAATTTAAAGAATTTTAAATAATAGAAAACTTATGAAACAAAAGTGGACATGGAGGATAAGAAGCTCATTAAAAGATTTGAATATTAGAGTCAATGAAATCCTCCAGAATTTGTTGCTTCGCAGTTGACACTTCGCCTTTCCGAAGTCTTTTCCCATAAACAGGCCAACCCCGTCGTTTCATTTCTTTAACATAAACGTCCCATAAATCATTAAAATCGATCGCCGAACTGCATTCATTTAGCACCACTCGCAACTGCGCAATACGATGCTGACTTCGAAACCAGTCATAAATTGATCGAATAAAGTGCTCTTTTTCAGTTTTATCAGGATTTTTCGCAAACATTTCCAAATCAGAGTCCTAGGAAAGAAAATATTTTCCTACTAAAAAATTGAGTTTATTTAGAAAATTTACTATAACAAAATCCTAAATAATTTTCGTTGTACTGTTACTAATTTCATTTACAAAATAGATTTTTCTGACTCAGCTACCATAAATGTTTAAAATCTGCTTGGTATATTAAATTAACACACGATAAAAATCTGCCGAAAAATGTTTATAAAGTTTTTTACAAACCAATCCCTCGGCTTATATCGTAACCAGTCCAGAATTCTGCAATTTATTTACCGGTATGAGAAGATCATATTGAGCTTGCGGCAAATTCCAATAACGACTAGGATTGATGGGATAAACGGTTGTCGCATACTGTTTCCACTCATCCGTAAAATGGACATTACGACCTCCACCAGAACGCGCGATTTTAGGCTTAGGTAAATTAGTTGGCTGAGGTATAATTTGGATATGCTTATACATTTTCCATGGTGAAATTTCATTTCCTTCTTTTGAATCATCATTCGAGCTAAAATATGATAACTATGATGCAATCGCAGTATGAAGTAGCAAAGCAACTGTTAATCTTTTAGGCACACATTTAATGTTATCAAATCCAGTGTATGCATATAAAAGAAATGCTTATGACACTGTCGCATCAGTAAAATGATACCTTCCTTAAGGAGAAAGAAAAATAAACAAAAGACACCAGAACTGCTTGTACAAGTTTCACTCTTTCAGTGCTACCTGCTGCGCTGAAGCATTAAAAACCGTCATGAGACTCAGCAATCCTTACTCAAGCCATCATTTGCCAAGCGATAATTGGTAACGCTAACGTAAGAAGGAGTCAAATTCTTCCATGATAGACAAAAAGTTTAATCCGGGAAGCATCTTCGACAATAAGCTTATGTTCTTGGTAACTTACTTGTCTGAATCAGTACCATCATCTGATTCCTTCTTCGAGAATTTGGCCTTCTTTTCTCGAAGTTTCAGTGTATCAGCCAGAGATTTTTTTGGTTCGTGAAACGAAATATTCTGTTTCAACATATTCGCATAATCACCCTCACGTTTGTTAGCAGCAGCGCGTCTTTTACGAGGTCTGCTATTAAGGTCGTTAGCATCGATAGCAAAACCTTTCGTACCAACTGCTTCATTTAACCTGTACCAAAGCAAAATAATATTCCACCCACTGAGTGCAATTTACTATGATTTCAAATTTAAAATCTGATGAATTATAAGCAGAACTTGATGGTTAATCCTAAGATATTCAGACAACCGTCAACACATTACGGGGCAAAGAAATACATCTAATAACAAAAACTAACTTCTCCTCATCGTCTGTATCATCAAATGTACCGTTAACATGTGGTTCTAATTCCGGCATTGGGGAACTCTCCATTTTTGTCCCACGCGGCGAATATTTCTCTGCCACAGTTCCTTTTGAATGCAATTTATTGATCTTCTCACACAGTTCACCTACTTTATTGCTGCAAAACAAAACTGTCAAAAAGTAGCGCATTTTCCAATCAAACGAAAATCAAGAACTTGATTGCTAAATGGTTAAATTAGTCTACTGTTGCAGACTAAGATTAAGCGTCAATATGTTTCCCAAATGAATCAGTTATATATTATACATGGCTTTCATACACAACTAATTCATTTCCGAAACATAGTAACAATAAAATAATGAAAGAAAAAAAAGAAAAAACTACCACAGTACAACATAAAAAGCTTTGTAAACTGTAGAAATTCTTCCGGACTGTATTAATGAAAATTGAGAATTATACCTACCATTGAAGTATTCTACACACATATACAGAAAGCTATGCAGTAGCTGATTAGACCTTTCGAAAGCAGTGGGAGCACTTTGGGAAGGATAAATAACCGAATCAACACCTTAAGCCGTTAACTTGTCTTCGCAGACTAATATTTTCATCAATTAAACTACGGTAACGATCCTGTGCTCTTCTTTCAAATTCGACAACTTCCATTGACAATGTCTGCACCTCCTTCGTAAGCTTTTCAAGTAGACCGCACACCAATTTTTGCTGAAGAATGTATTAATCAATAGCAGTAATTTACATATGCCTGTAAATAAAAGGAAAATACAACCTCAAATATCATTAAGAAATTTCAAATAACCTTTTGATTAGACGTGCTCGGTTGCTCCTCTTGTCTACTACCTAGTGTTCTACGTTGCCGCATATAAGGTCGTCCGTTGCCTACAACGATTGCACATGAATATCATACAATGACTCATTTTCGAGATTACTTCTGAATCCAAGCATCCTTCCATTTATCAGCAAAACAATAATCTGCCAAATAGCCAAGTTAGAGAAATTTGATCAAGACGTACTTCCGTACTGAACTCACTTTATTCAAACAAAATCCTTCACATTTAAAACAGCTGGGAATTTTTAGCTATTAAAAAGTGCTACTCGTCGAAACTGTTATAAACACTAAATTAATAGTGATTGATTACACTCTTCTGATATCTGGATAACGATACAAAGAGGAGAGGCATCTAGGAAATTAAAAAATAATACAGTCGGTCACACTGATACATTCTGCCATGAGAGATCTGAAAAAAGTCCGTTACCTTTCAAACCAATTTCGTCACTGTTCACCGTGCTCTTTATTGGTTTGTTTTTACTACCAGGTAATCTTCCCATAATGTCACCAAAACGTAGCCTCACAATACTTTGGTAGGCACAACCCTGCAACGAACTAGCACATGGTAATTTACTTGGATCAACTGAAGTACCACTTGATGGTATCGGGACATCTCCTACTTTGAACATTAATCAATTAATATTTTTTGCATCCAACAACTCACTTTGTACGCACTTACCCAAGTAATCTTATTTACAGCTCCAAAGAGTACTTCTCGAACATCAGGTAATTCATCATGTTATGCTTCTCGATAATTTATTTTTGCGGATGATGATATGCAATGACTGGGAAACATAGATACCGAAAATATAGCGAAAGCTTTTTTTTCTTGAATATAACAGACAAAAGAATAGAAACGCAGATATTCAAAATTTTATTCAGACTTTGACAACAGCAATATAACCAGCGTAAATCAAACCAGGTATTTCGATTTGAGAGAAATATAGCAGAAAAAATTTCCCAACAATACAGGACCATTTTTAATTCTTTCCTTGAAAAAAATTGATTGCATTTTTTTTCTCCAAGGACTATCCAAGAGGAAGTCCAAACAAGTATAATTTTCATGCAACTTTTAACTTTTCCAATTCTTCTATAATTTCATTTTCCTTATCAATTTTCGCCATCTGATTTGCTTCCAAAGCTTGTCCGCTTTCTTTCCGTTTCTTCAGCTTCTCAATATCATCGATTTTCTTTTGTAATGCACGTATCTGAAAGAGATTGGTTATCCTTAAATTATTTCATTATTACCCATAACATGTAACATAGATATTAATTATCGATGAATCTAACAGATCTATATTCATCAAGCTATGAACGACTTGACAACAGTTAATTTTTCTGTCGTATTCCATTCTGTTCACTCACGCTACTAATATTACTCGTAACATCAAAGCTATAGATCGTAAGTCAATGGATTAAAGGGATAGTAACATTTCCTACCTTTTTCTCTTTTTCAGACAACGAAGCTTTTGAACATGGAGCAGATGTTGCCGTTTTTAGAGCACTTTTTGTCAATCCTGAAATAAGCAAGATCTTGTTGACAGAACTGTATAATATGTTTATGAAATTCAAGCAAAAGTAACATTAATCTTCAAGCAGAATGAAGGAGAATTATGAAGCTTATTTTTGTTCTCTCTTCAGCTATCCATACTGAAGATTAAAACGTATAGGAAGTCTGTGTTGTTCAACAAACCTAATGTACCCTTGCGCAAATGCGGAGGCACATAAGCTCCGTTTTTGTTTATTGCACCAACTGGCAAATTATTGGCCGGATGTTCATCGCTTACGTTCTTCCTCTGTACCATTAAACCAGCTTTTGCTTTGTCTTCAACTGTAAGAATTGGAATCGAAAAGGAATGGTAAATGTTTCCAGGAACAGGCCGCCATTGTACCTGAAAAATATAGTGAAACTTTAAAATCTAATATTATGCTCCAACATTTACCAGTTTATAAACTTCTTTCGTTTGTCATGAACATATTTCACTTCTAAAGAATGGAAAGAAAAACAAAAAAGAGTGGTAAAATAAAAAAGTGTACATACAAAGGTCTTAAAACGGAACAAAGAATTACATCGTACAATACTTTAAATCATAGCACGTAACTGTGGCTTTTGTCCCGTTTTCATTCACTAACAACAGTGGTGGAAAATTATACGCGAAAATTATAAAAAAAAAATATACGATTATAAAAAAATTATAAAAAATTATAAAATTAAAAAAATTAAAAATTATATAAAAAATTATAAAAATTATAAGTTTTTATAAAATTATAAAAAATTATAAAAAAATTAAAAATAAAAAAATAAAAAATTAAAAAATCATAAAAAATTATAAAAAAATTAATATAAAAATTATATTATAATTATAATTATAAATTATAAATTATAATTATAAAAATTATAAAATTATACGCGAGATTCATTCAGGATAATCCATATCGACAGAGGCACTATCATTTGTCAGAAACAGCAACGAAAAGCATGTCCATGTAATCAACAACAAAATACCCATTTGAACCACCAATATGTTTTGCTGTCAGTAGCTAATGAATATTAAATCTAAGAAATAATAAAAAATTAATTGAAAGATGGAGAATACCTGCCATAATTCGGAAGGAGAATCATAACAATGTTCATAAAGCAAACGGCCACTATAATGCCATATCCTGAAGCAATTATCGATTCGAAGTCTCGGGGCTGTAGTGGCAGTCATCAAATGCTGACCGTCTGGTGCCCATTCTAACAATGTCGTGTTTGGTGCTTCGATCTAAATAATATCATTACGAATCGGAAGACAGAAGGGAATAAAAAAAAAGTATAAAATCCATCTTCTTGTTCATTTAAGAAAAGGCAATAATGAGAAATTGAAATTCTATCAAAATGAAGCCTAAATCAGCGAAACATACAGTAACAATTTCACGTCGAGCTTCAACATCCCAAAATTGCATACGACCACTTGCAATGTTTCCAAAACCACAAAGTATCAAGATATTCCCAAATCGATTATAATACATATCATTTCGTGGACCTTCTCCAAAATCGAAAACTGGGTCACATTTCAAATTGTATAAGGTTACCTGAACGGTAAAAGAGGGTTAATTAGAGCGAGATTTCTTCACATTCATTTGAAATGCGCTGAAAAAGTTTTAGGAAAGTAAAAGTACCCGAGCAGGCATAAACCCATAACAAACAGCGAACTGCTTTCCGCTAGGACTCCACTTAGCACAGTAAATAGGTCCATGCTTCTCGAGTGGCACAGCACAACTATCACCATTTACTGCCACAAGATATAAATTCTGTTCACCATAGTAACTCTTGTTTGAAATATCAACATCCACTATGGTCATTACTATCATTGCACTTCCTGAAAAATATCTATGGTACACCTAAAAATAAACCATAAATGTCTAGGATTCATCACATATCGTCTTGGCACAACTTAAAAACTAAAGTAACCGGACAAAAAAATGCCATTTCATGCAAGACCAAGATTAGGCGACCCAATTGACAGAAACCGAAGCAAGGACTTCCAAGAAAATAGGGATTCTTTTCCGTAAAATCTATGTAGCACTACCTAGGATGTACCGGATGTCAGAATAGTTTTGATGAATCCGGTAAAGCTGAGCAATCTAATGTGTAGACTAACAGCAAACCTTTACAGCTCCACAATAAGTTAACTTTATCGCATTTAAAGAGAGTTTTGCTGGCCACAGTAGTGAATTTGTGATCCAACCTGGAATATTTAATGAATTGAAAGAAGTGAGATTTTATTTTTGGAAAGTGAATTTGCCGAAATGCGGATTTATAGAAAAGTGAATCTATAGAAAAAAGCAAGGACCTCGAAAAAATTCGCTAAAGAATTTTTGTAGCAAACGCAAATGAATATTTTCAAACGTATAAAAGCCATTTCTTATAACAGTCTTAATAATGGGAACATACCTCTTGAGTTGTACCAGTGCAGGTTGTCCACCAGATGCGGGAACATATACTGCAAGATGATGTGGCTCCATTCCAGAGCTCAATGAGCAACTTTCAACATTTCGTATTACTAATTTCGATTCATATTTTTCTACAAAATATGGACCTTTATTAATTGAAAAAAAATCATAATATGATGTCAAAGAATAAATTTACCAATCAACTTGTAAAATATTTATAAAAAGATGAACAGGATTATTCTAGTGCCTTATCCCACATTACAATATCTTACCATACGAATTATATTTGTGAATCAAAATTTCGGATCCAACTAAACGAACTGAATAAATTTCATCATCAGTCCACTGAATTTTCCATGAGTTCTAAAATAATGCAATCTATCACCGCTACAACATTTTTCGTCGCTATGTGACACGCATGCATAAATGTGGGTTGAAGTGAAAAAAGGATGAAAAATTACGAGCAGTTAAAGTTTTGTGTACTATTAGCTAAACGAAAAAAGAAAGTGTACCTGCTTTTGAGCAATTAGTGTGGTAATATACTTTCCTTCTGGAAGAGACCATAACCTAAGATTTGGGGCTGGTTGTCGTTGTTCGATATTTTCAGTCTGAAAAACGGATATCGATAAAAAAGGCAATAACAAACACTTTCTTTCTGCATATAATACTTTGTATCGCTTCAATATTACCTATGAACATTCAGTTTAATGTCTTAACGACAGGTTTTCAAATTTCAACTTCTTATCTTTCCATTCCTTTTTCTTGCATTTAGCCTAATTTTTAAGACTCATAAATAATTAAATGAATGAAATATTAAACAAAGGGTTGTCAGTTAGTGTTTCTTAATATAAGAATAAACACGCATGCATACCAGACATAAGAAAACACAATAGTTCCGAATAGCACAAATTCTTAATCTATTAAAAAGAAAAAACGACATCATCACTTCTCCCGCCAACATGTTTTGGAGAAATCATTTTACAATAATAGCGGCAAAATGTTGGCTCACCGTCACGCACAGCGACAAAGGTCGCGGGCGAGCTCACATTAGGGCCTATTTATTTCGCACACGTTTCCCAAGTATGAAGGAAATGACGTAATTCCCATACTAGAATTCATGTGCACAAGGGACTTGATCCCACTACCACTTCTTGCACTTAGAGCACCTCCACTACACCACACAACACTAGACTATCATTCTTTTCATATTGATGAAACGAGTAGAAATAATATACGATAACTAAAATCAAAAATGAGTTCCCACTAGTGATCGTTAGAATTAGTGAAACTCGACTGAGGAAGAATGACAGAAGAATAAGTAAGCGGCATTTGATACAATGAGACAATCACTAAATAGTTGGGTATCACTGATAATGAGGTCTAACTTGTGCAATAATTTGTTCAGATAGTTGGCACTGTGAAGCAGAAGTTACCCATAACAAAACCAAGTTACCGATAACAAACACTCGCAATCAAATTCCAATCGATAAGCTGCTAAGTTGATAGTACTGAATCTTTCCTTCCCCTCCTCCTAATTCTAGATTGTAGGTAGATTTGTCAATTCTAATGACTCAAAATTTACACGAATATAAATTCATATTCGTCGACAAATGAGTACCATTCTCGTACTTCCAAGATATCTTGATGGAAAAATTACATATCTTTTTTTTTAAAAATTATTTGCACTAAACAACTTAGATTCGAATATTCCAACAAAAAAATTGGTTGAACAGACCGTTTTTGCGACATAAGAAACATATGGTTCATATGTTGCCAACAATCGGTCCCTTGGAGAAAAGACAATCTGCTGAGTACGCGGTAAATCAACATTAAATATTTCTCTCCCAGTAGAACTTTCCACCAGAACTGTCCTGAAAACCACGCCTATTAGAAGGACGTTTAGCTTGTAAGGACAAGCAAATACTTCTGATGATGATTTATATTCTCATTACTTTGTTCTCTAACATCATAAGTGCTTAGACAGAAACAGTTAAACGCGAATCTCTTCTGAAAACCTAACACTTGGCTATATTCGACTTGCAGCTACGCTAATGGGGAACAATTTCCTAAGGTTCTCAAAAAAAGAATACATACCTGACAGTATCGCAGTAACAAAAATACTGCCCAGTATTACTGAATTGAAATACCCGACAAGGATGCGACTTGGGATCTCTGAAAAAAGCCTAGAACTAGTTCTGCTAAGTAGAACACTTCACATTATATAATTAGCTTGATATGATTGCATAGAATAAAAAAAGAAAGAAAAAATAAAGAGCTTACTCAGATTTGTCGTATATCCTTGAAGGTGAGCTAATACCCCTCATAATACCGAATCCATTAGAACCACGCACTGCAAATCAACATTTTAAAGATAAAATTTCATATATTTCTTGCTTCCTTATTGCAGATATTATAGAAAAAAAAATACTAAATTTACGGGCATTGTGATACTTGTTATAGTATTTCCAGTTCTATGATTTTGCAATCAAACACTGAAAAAAGGGAAACATTTTTTGGCTACTTTAAAGACTTTTGGTTTACGTACTTAATCAAAGATATACGATTACGTAATGCATATAATAGCATATTCATACAACAACACTTTTTCATATACGTATATAAGTTTAGGCAAACCAACCTGCGTAGTGCAAATTCTCGCCCATCATCAAATTGCGTCCACGGTTGTATCTTACCTTTACTAGGTTACTTACCTACAAAAAATCATTTTTCAACTAACATACATAAACCTCACATATAAAACATTGAAATTTGGAAGCAATACTATATCTCTTCCACGAAAGACTGAAAAATGAGCTGTTATTTCACCGTTAACCAACATAAAACTTTGCGCGAAGTATCCAGGTTAGTACTCGCTGCAACGTGTCAACTCCCTCCTCCTCATTCAAAAGATTGCGCATCACCTCCGTATTGCATAAAACTATTATACACCGATTGCATAACCACGAAAAACATAAAAGAATGCCTTCATGCTCCTTCCTTCGTTGGAAGTAATCATAAACGAAAAATAACCTTGTACCGATTCAATGCATTATTTTTGATCTTTTCCAAAATGGTCGGAAGAGATTAAGGTGTTTTGAAAGATAGACGTTGCAGAGTTATGGAACATCGGAAGGCAACACAAAAGATAAGGATGTCGAATACTTTACTACATCTATTATGTAACACAGTAAAAGTGTTTTGAAATACAAGTCAAAGCGAAATAATACAAGGTAGGTCATTAAAAAAAAAAATTTGATGTCACAACAGCGAAATGACACTTTTTTAGTATTCAATTCAGAAAAGAGAGAGAAAGAGCGGTGAAAAGAGGAATGTTAATATGTTTACAAGTATAATGATTAACCATAAAGTACACTGGAACTACTTAAACGAAAAAATGCAGATATAATTACACCACAGAGATTAAGTGAAAAACTTCCTCCATAATTTCTCTGAAGTGAAATATACTGATGCAAAACATTTTCAATATAACATCATGTACTGCTTTCATTAAAAAAAAATTCAAGCTAAAGCATCAGCAGATTATAAAAGCGCCATACAATGAAGCATAGGAACGGTTTTTTTTTCTTTTTTCAAAACATTGTTTTGCAGAATGAACCATAGCAGACATTCCTCTTCACAAACCACCTGCTTCGCATACCTGAAAATGCTCAGTTTTACTGACAGCTAACATACAAATCAACATATGTCTATTACTGATATACGTTCCGCAGTGATAAAAATATTATATATAAAATGTGAGTGAACCATCGTCGGATTTTCATGAAAGAAACTTCTCAAAGAAAAAATAAAAAAGAAAAAAACCTAACTGCACACCGAAATAACTTCAAGTCTTTCAAGTTCGATATGTATTATCGCTTACTTCATGCCCATTATTTTGAGTGATAAAATGATAAAATCAGCTGTCTCAAAATCATAAATAAATTTTGGAATCTCATTATTCGGGTCCTTGCCTAGGAACTAAAGAAGCAATTACCATCGTCAGTAATGTAACCACTTTTTTTTGAAATGACTCTTATCTCTAATGACTCAAATTTCTTTCTGCTGCAGTTTGCATTACCACGATTATTTCTCCGTGGATGTTTATCAACAATTAATTTTTATTCATGCTTTTATTTATTTTATTCATTCACTCGAACAAACCCTTCTCATTATTCTTCTTTTTCGTTTTGGTCTTCTTGGATATACATCTTTAGCCCGATCCGTCAGCGACTGACTAAATTCTTCGTCTGGCAACTACAAAAGAAAAACAAACATCTAGAAAAGGAAATACATTGCTATCATATAAAGTGAAACAAAACAAAACAGAGAGCAAGTGATATGTTTCACACAACAAGCGTAAAATTATACCGATGGAAATGGTCATTAAGAATATCAGGATACTATGAAAAATCATAAAGAAGTATCAGGCTTTACCGGACAAAAGAGTATAAGCTGCAATTGATGACTAAACTACCACACAGTTACTGCAATTCTAAAGAAATCTAAGTTCAAATGTATTTTTGCGACATTCTAATCCACAAATATGCTCTTAGGCGACAAACCTGAAATTTTAGCCGCTTCTCAACGGGCATTTCCGTACCACTCGTATTTGACTGCACTTTTAACTCTGACAATTGTGGCGCCTCATTTTGATCAATATCAGATCCTGATTTGGTTGGCATTGTTTTTGTTCCTTGAAAGTAATTGACGTGAGGCAAAAAAAAAAGAAAAAACTGCAACGTACTGACTTTATCAAGCAGAAATGTACGGGTTATTATGAGGCTAGCCTATCTGACAACTGAGTTGTCTTCATGATCTAACAAACACAGGATCAAAGATATCAAGCATATGAATAGATACCAACAATTTCAAATTAACATTAAAGACTGGACGGGAATTTTTCGCAGGCTGTTATAATGTTAGTCCAGAAAATATCTACATAAGGTAAACAACAAAAAAGTGAAGAGGGGAAATATTGAGAAAAAAAAAGAACAATTTCCATTTTTTAACCAATATGTGAATGCCATACAAACAGAAATCATATCCAATCAAGTTATATATGCGATTTGTAGCATTGTATTTTCTGAAAATGATTTAAAGCAAAAAAAAAAAGAAAAAAGAAATACCAGTTCTAACATCAGTAATTTCACCTTCCTTCAATGGACATCTTGCAGATGTCAAAGAGGAATTCGATAACGTAAATGAGCTTTGAATCCCGCTGATAGTTGGATCATCCACATCAATCTGGTTAATATTAGCAATTTTTTCATTGAAGTCAATAATCCTTTCGGACAGAATTTCTAAAAAAATCATCAGTAAAGTATTAAGTAAAGACGAGCAAAAAAAATTATTTCATGAAATGCTGAATGAAATTTGCTGAATAAATCACGACAAAGAAACCAAAGTGAAGGATAACTTCAAGATGAAATGAAACAACAATTGCTATTTAAAATCCCCAGATTTATGAGTGATCCGACATTTTACAATTAAAAGAAAACGAGATGTTTCGCCGACCGATTAACAACTCAAAATGAGTAATAAACTGTCACCGAAGTTTTGAGCTCGGACTATTATTTTAAGAAATAGATAAAAACCTTTTGAAGGTTTAAACGTTTTAGAAAGTGCATTATTAAAGCTCTTCTTCTGCTCCAGTATAAGTTGTCTTTTTAGACATTCCATTTCGTTTAAGAGTTTCCGGGAACGCCTACATTCTTCGAAATATCGATTCTCAGATTCTCGAACTTTATCAAAGTATTCCACGCGCTCCTTCTCCGCTCTGTTTAACTTTAGAGTTAACATTTTCACCTCTTCTCTGCAACAAAGTTAATGGAAGAAATTGTTAAAACTATGAATTTATTGACCTTCGCGATTAGAAGGACTTGAGATTCGAAAACTAACTGTTAGATTTATCAGTTACAATTTCAAAACTATGTTTAACTTAGTATTATCAATGCGAATAAATAATCAGAAGATTTTGCAGTTCTGCTGACTTCTGACTGATTGTCTATTGTGAAAATAGTTCGTGCATTCTTCTTTCTAGTTTATAATAAAATTGTATCATAATTAAAGAGATATGATAAAAGAAAACTAACTTCAAAGTGTTGAAAGCATATTCCTTCATGTCAACTATCGCCGAATTATTTGAAATAGTCCCCATCTCAGCTTGCGTTTTCTCCTTGCATTTCTCTAGTAATTTGGCGTTAACCGCCGTCAATTCAGTACGTAAACGAGAAATCTCCAGTTGCAACATACTCGTATCACTGCCTTAAATAACTCATAAATCAGATAAACGCAAAAATAAAATTTGACAACACAGAATGAATCAATACAAATACATGAAAATGCTCCAGTGGAGCAGTGAAGGGCTTTCATTTGCACCAGAAAACAAACACGACAAATATTGAGCATACTCATGGTATTATGGTGCGCACAAATTTCAACATCGTACAACATATAAAAACATAAAAATCACAAAAACTGATATCTGAAAAGAAACAACTTACTTTCCTCAGGAGCATCAAGTAAAAACTCTGACATCTCTCCTACCTTAAAGCAATATTACATTAAGCAGTCCACACATATTAAATAATCGTTTACCAGCAATCCCTTCGTTAGTACGTAAAGTTAACGCAAGCATCAGTTCGTGTCTTAGCTCGTTTAATTCCAGCTCATATGCTTCTTTCTGACTAGCAAAAAAATCATTTTGGCATTTCAGCTTCAGAAGATCTTTTTCCAGTTTGACTCTTTCATCAACAAACTAAAAACGAAACCTAAAATAACAATGACAGCAATGGACCATATCGCTAAAAAAACTCACAAGTAACTGCAAAATATCATGATATTTGTAAAAGCAGGAAAAGAAACTAAAATAAGAACCTTTTTTTATTAAAACAAATAGCAAGCTTAACTCACTTCAAAAAACATTGAGTTCCCCCTTTTTGCGATCTTTGTTTTACTGCGATATTCATTCAATTCGGAAGTTAATTCATTACATCGATTCTTTAATTCCTTTAAACTATCATTGAAATAAGATGCGCCAAAAGATGCATGCAACTGCTTAATACAAATTTAATCGATAGGACCAAATTACAAAAAGCAATTTTTTAAGTAAAACAATGAAAGACAAACCTCGATGTCATGTCTGTAACCATTACATATCGTTGAAAGCTCTTCAACATGACTTCGTTCATTGTCCAAATTCCGACTAGTTATAACTACTTTATCTTGCAGTTGTGAAATTTCGTCCAACATCAAATTCCTCTCTAATTCCAACTCTGCCTGAAAAAAAATTGAAGATTTAACAACTTAGAAAGATAAGAGATCAATCATTTCATAATAAACATCTTTCAATCATAGTATAGTTTTGGCATGCTAAGAAAATATTCGTTGAAATACGAGGCTAACCATTTTTTCGTTTAATTTCATTTGCTCAGAATCAGAGAAACTGTCTCGTATTTGACTGATCGGCACCTCAGGTTTTTGTAATGCTTTTTCAAGTTCCCGTTCTTTCGATGCTAATGTTTTTTTCAGTTCTTGTATTTCTTGTTCGCGTTCAAACAGCATGTCATTCTTTTCATTTATCTGTAAGACTACTTCTGTAAATGATTTAAAATGCATTAGTCAGAGTTCCCACTTTTGTTTTGATATTTCATACCTTACATTGAATCCGAAATCAAGAACGTAAAGGTTGTGATCAAATCTATTATCGTGGAAAAAGATAAGAAATTAAAATAGTCATTAAAAAGTTAGAAAACCACTAAACCACAGCACCACAGAAACTGATAAACTACAAACAAAAGCAAGCATACACAATTCGCCATCAAAGGCAAATCAAAGAATACTAACTTGAAAAAACGAACAAAAATAATACGAATGCAAGAGAAGCAGTAGCAATGTTTAACTTAATCAAACCTTAATCAAATGAATAAATGTGTGATATACGTGAACCTATGTTGATATACTTAATATGGTAATCTCGAGACAAATATACTGTATAAGAAAGTAATGAGTAAGATTGAAAAAAAAAAACACATCGAGAAAATAATGTACAACAGTGTACAATGAACTGATAAGGCAAGAGAACCTCTGCACGAAGAGAAGATATTTTTTGTTCAAGTTCGACCAAATAAGCACTTTTGGTGGCGTTTATTTCGGTAATTTCATTGCGAAGTTTTGTCACTTCATTCTCAGCATCAGCCAAATATTCGTCACGACTTTTCAACAATGTTTGTAACCGAGAAATATCCTGAAATTACAATTCGATGATGACAGTTTATCATTTCGATGATTTCTGATCCGATAAAGTACTAAGATCAAGATGACCTAACCAAGATGACTTAATTCCATGACAGTTATGACTTGTAACAATGACTACCCCAAAAGTTCGACGACAACTATGAAACAATGAAGTTGATGAAATATAAACGTGAGCAGATAAAATATCTCAAATAAATTTGGAGAACAAAGGAAATTCGAAGCAAACACAAAAGCATACTCTACACTGCTGAAGATTTTCTTCACCAAGCGTGGAGAGACGTTGATCCTTATCCTTGTCCTTCTCCAATATCTCTTTTGCCAGTTGGGCAATGGCTACTTGTTTTGATTCCGATTCTTTCAATTTCGACCTATAACAATGATTCATTGAGGCCAAACATAAAGACACACCAGATATCATGTGTCAATATATTTTGTATGAGGCATGATATTGAAAACAAGTTGTATATCGCATGCAAAAAAATATTATTTAAGCTGCAAAATCAGTACAAAGTCTTCAATTGCTGAAATTACGGAAACTCATAACATATCCCTAACTAAAATCCTATGAAGATCTATAATACATTTCTATCTGAGCTCATACGGAAATCCATGCGGTTTTCTTACCCAACATTTCAAATTAAAAAATAAAACATCGCTAAGAATGAAACTATGAAAATCTAGATGGTAGATCTCACAAAGATTTGTAAGGAACCTTACTTGAGCTCTTCAATTTCAGTTTCCATTATTATCACATCACCGAGTAATTTCCGAATTAAGATTCCTGAAAAATGAAAACTGGAAAATTAACAATACAAATCCACTATGCAGTCAGATTATAACAACGCAGGATATCTAAAACTTCAAAAAACCATTAAAACAAACCTCTCACCAGGCATTTACTTGCTTCTTGACTACGATATCAGCCTTCCGGAAGAGTTTCATTATTCCCTTACATATGACTGATTGAATGAAAGCCTATCGAAGGTAAACATTTTTCAAAAACTTACTCTTGTTTTATGTTGGAGACCAAACTACGAACTTTTTCACCAACTTTATTTTGCTGTCAGATTATCTTGCTAATTTCTACCTAACTTTCCCTAATGTTCACATCTTATCGAAACCAAAGTATCGTTTCTTTTTATTTCACCTTAAATCACTTTATTTCAAACTTCTGGTAAAAATACTCCACTTCTCGCCTTTGTCACAACGAAAAGTCGTAGTTCAGGTTCTTCTTGACAACTTATCTCAGGTCAGATCAAATCAGGTCATGATCTCCGCACCAAACTACCACAAACAAAGTCCCTCCCCACCAACCAAACAAGATGCAATACCCGTGTTGCATGCGACTTACCCTGAAATTTCGAATGTCCAAAGGGTAATTGAATGACAAATTGAAGATTTCGGATTGTCTAAAATTTCACATCCTGCCGATGACTAACTAATTCCGGATAGGTGTAGTACTGGTTTGTGAAAGTGACAAATTACTATCAACTGCTAATAATTCGTCTTTTGTTAAATGATAATTTCAGAAATTAACTGAGCATTTTATCATTCCGGAACGGTTAAATTGCTCCGAAAAAAACATAAGTGGTAGATATATTATTAAGTATATTATTAGCGTATTTATCACTTTCCGGTCATTTTGGTTATTTTGCTATTTCGTAATTAATAAAATTGTTCATTGTTAATTCTATAAGCATTCCATAAAAACAATTATCGTATAATAAAATGAAATTAATATGAACTGAAATTATTATCAATGGGAAAATGCTTCTTTTTCTTCATATAAATGCTACAGAAAGTTATCGTCGAATGACAGAAAACGAAAACATTTGAAAAATACAGTAGGGGGTGTGAAAAGTACTGTAGGAGCATGCGAAAAGGTACGGTAGAAGTATTTTTTCGTATGAATACCATCACCTCAACAATTATTTTTGCTTTTATTTTCTCATAATTTTCTAGGTTTAAGTGGTCCAACGCTGTCGATAAACCATAATATGACGAAAGTAAGCAATGTACCGCATATCACACCTGAAAAATAATACTGAATCAGATTACAAATTGCAATTAAATACAGTGAACTGTTGAAACGTCTAATGTAGTACATCTTCGAATAGCTAATCAATGGTGTTACTGTATATCAGACATAATTATGCCGTAGGTATTTTAATTATCAATTACGGTGGAACTGTGTATTGTAGATATTGTAATTGTTCGGAAGTTACTTCCGAATTTATCACAGATATTCTAACAGTCAGGTCGTTCTGTTCCAGAATTCTAATTTCGAATAGTTCGAAATACTTTGTTATGTATGTGTTAGCTAAAAGTTGAATAGTTGAATTTCTCGTTTTTTTTTTTGAAAAAAATACGAATGAAAGACAAACCAAATATAAGAAAGAAAGCTGCAATCATTCCAGCGATCGTTGATTTTGATGTTTCCACCTGTCTAAACCTAACAATTAATAAGTGATGATTGACAAAATAAATTTAACATTTAACATTATTCAACTCTCACAAATTTCAATTCTAATGCAGTATTTGTTAGTGTTTGCCATTAACAATGTTGGATTTCGAATCCAAAACTTTGCGCTATTTCCGTGATTTCATCTAGCAACAATCGATAAGCTAACTTCTTACATTAGCAATAATTGTAAGAAGGCTCTAATTGATGATTTAAGATGATGGAATGTCGGATAAGCTAAATTAGGATATGATATGGGAAGATTTGTGGACTTACTTTGGTGTATACATTAGGGCCAAAGCACTGAAATAACCACTACATGTGGACATTGCAATAACAAGAGCAATATAGACCCATGTATTATAAATTAATATTCCCCATGTTCGATGTGCTGATCGAAAATTACAACATAGCATTAGCGGGATAAAAGCTGATTGTGCGACAACTGGGATCACAAGCCATTTAGGTTGAGGCTAAATTTTGAATGATTTATAACTGTAAAATTTCATTTTAGATTATTCATAATTTTTTTTCTTTTTTTATTTCTGAAAATGTTCAAACTATTTTTGGAAAAAAGAAAAAAAACAAAAAAGGAAGTACCCATTGCACGAAATTTGCCAAAAATGTTCCAAAAAAAGCGAAAAAATTGAACAAAAAGTATGTAGTCACTGGTGTAAATAACTTTTCTGAAAATATGCAAATGTAATTTTTTTGTTTACAAAAATTAGTGATAAACTTAGCATATGTCTGGTTGAACATATTGTTCCTGAGTGATAAATGGCATGATAAACTGATATGATATATAAATTGAATTTACGGCAAAAATGCAATCAATTTGATTAAGAATTGATGATCGAAATCATTATCTGGCAAATGATTTGATATATCATTTGTAATCGAATTATGATGTAATCTTGACCTAGGCATCTGGTAGCCTTTCAGCAAGTTTTTTCTGTCCGTGAAACCGCGAAAGAAGCCTGCTCCTCCTCCCGCTCTTCGCTTATGCGGCCGAATGTCCCATCCGTCATCTTGACAGACGATGGAAGTTACTCCTGATTGGCTCTTTATATATTGAAACCAATTAATATCTGGATCAATTTTCTTTATCTCTCTTTTTCATTTCAATTCCATTTCTCTATTTGTTTTCTTAGTATTTAGCCTGGTTTCTTTTCCTAATTGTTTTATACAAAATGATTCAGATGGTGACATCCAGTTTGATGTTTATTTAGCCTGATTTCTTTTCCTAATTGTTTTATACAAAATGATTCAGATGGTGACATCC